AATGTACATACAGATCATTTGAGGGGAAAAAGCCCACATCCACATATAAGCTCGTTTCTTTCTATTCCTTCTCATAACACAAAAGAGCTCTTTAGCCAAAAGAAAACTGAAGGGAAAATCCTAACAGTCTTTAAAAAGATACTCCTCAGCCTCCTAAGCTAGTTTATCTTATGGTCTAACTGCCTTTGCTGTTATAAAGGTTCCCTCCCACTGTCTAACATAACTTTCAGTTGTTGGAATTTAAACCCAGTACTTCTTATCTGCTATATCAAGAACATGGAGAAGAAATTATTTCCTTCCTCTTTGCATCATGGTACTCACTAACTTTTATCACTGGCTGTAGATATTATATCATAATACTGCATGGATTTTGGAGTGCATTTTGCAGTTTCAGTTAAAGTAGACTAACAGTATGGAAAATGTTTAATATATCAGATAACCCACAGTTGCCTAGGGTGGAATTCATCACCATTTAAGGCAAGTACTCCTGCCTTCCTCTACAGTCAATGAGGCCTTGGCCATGATCCACCTCATCTTCAAGTTGAAGTCTAAAATGAGTCATAAAAGGCCCAGTTTCTCTTTGCTAACTATTTGATGAGTGTAGGATGACTGTTTCAGTTATGGATACATATATAAGAAACACAGATTCATAGAATAATTTAATTTGCAAGGGAGCTCCAGAGGTCATCTAGTCCAGCCTCCTGCTCAAAGCACGTCTTATCAGGCCAGGTCACTCAGACCTGTGTCCAGTCAAGTCCTGATACCTCCAAGGATGGATATTCCGCAACCTGTCTGGGCAACTGGTTCCAGTATTTGACCACGCTCATGGTAAAAAATGTTTCCTGGTATCTAACCAGAATTTCCTATTTTCTAACTTCTGTCCATTACAGGTGTCTAAAATCAGCTGAGATCTGACCCCTAGTGCCATTATCAGACTACTCTATTACAGTGTTGAGTTTGTGCTTGCTTTATTTGAAGGTCTTTGCAACATGCAAAGCGTGTTCCAAGCATTAGCAAGACAGGGAGTTAGGAAAGGTCTAAAAGCTCCACCACAGTCATTATTTCTGGAAAAGGAAAGCACTGAGAATCGTCCCCTCAGATGCCAAGTATAGAAGTTAAGAGACTCCTCCATAAGACAATCAGGTTTTGGCCCTCTCTCCAAAAACTAAGAACAAAGACATATAAGTGAAGTCAATTAGAATGACCAGCATTCATTTGGAGGAGGTCCATTGGTAACTGGAAAGACTAAGTAAAGGGAAATCAGAGATCTTACTGTGAGAACTAAAGAAAATAAAAGAAATGAGAGCCACAGAAATTAAAGTTTCTCAGCAATTGCTGGGTAAAATCTATGCATTTGTAATAGACAAAGCTCATCTGCCTGTTTATAATTCAGGAAAGATCAGTGTGTTGTTATCAATATAGCAAAATTTGAATAATAAATTTTGGTGGAGACCATCATTTGCACTTCCCATTTGGTTAGCAGGGCATTGTAACAGCTGTTTTTCTCACCAAAAGCAGCTGGCTGGTGATATGATTTTTCAATTAATGGTGCTACACTATGAATAGATTACTGCATATAGACATGAAAACAATGACAATTAGTGAAAGAAATTAAGCAATGCAACAAAGTAGGTTTTGGTTTCCATGTAATTGGAGGGTAGGGAAAAAAATACAATAAAGCCCTTCTGGACACAGTGAAATTTGTATGCTGAAGGGTCTCAAAACAATCCAAGACAGACTGGGTGAATGGATCTAGAAAAAGAATTAGAAAAGTGTAGAGGAGCAGAGAGTAAAGATGCAAAAGACTTAAAGCAGTGCTGAGAAAATCTAAGGGGATTTTGATTTTTAAATAAGAATGTAATTTTGCACTGAATCATTAAATGAACAGAGATTTGAGTTATTTAGAATTGAAATGCTGTCATTTTATCTCTTCACATTGTACACGCACTAAGGCAAGCTGTGTAATTCTGGACTTACTTGAGCATGAAAGTAAAGCTTTTTGGTTTTACCTTCCAAATCACAATAGAAGAAGAGATGACATAGAAAGGAGAACAGCCTTATGTTAAAGGAGAACAACTTACTGCAGTGATGCTTGTCTGGCCCAAACTGGTGAACTCCATTCTGTATTTTAATCTGCATTTCATGCTAGCTGTGGAAAACATAGCCTAAATCGGGTGTGTAAGAGGTGAGATCTAGATTAATTAGTCTGAAAGCTCTAATATACTCCTCTATTGTAAAATGAGGACCAAATCAAACAGCTGAAAGAACGCTACTTCTGTGCCCATGTTACTAAGTCTTTAACCACATCACTGAGTTACAGAATATTCCCAATTCTTCTCAGAAACAAATGAAGACACCAAATAACAGGAAGAAGTAAATAAACAATGCATATGAACCAGGAAAAAGATCTGCTTTGCATGTATGTGACTTGTAACCAATATGATAATTGATAATCTATGCTCTACACCTTGCTGTGAATGGACATGTGTGTGAATGTCAGCTGCTGCAAATGAGACTCTCCGTTTAGAGATTGGGATCTTTCTTCCTCACTCCATCCTGCTCTGCTTTGTGCTCCTTTTCGAGACAAGAAGCAAGTGAGCACATTTAGATACTGTTCATGTACAGCAAAATGTCAAGAGTTCACATTCCATCATTCGTATCTTGCAGAAACACAGGCTTTTCTTTCTTAAAGATTATATAGGAGACCTCTCTGGCTATGCTTTACAGCCGCCACACATTTATCGTTGCACTGGCTTGCCCTGGATCAGAAATGGATGAAATCTTCCTTGCAGTGAATTGAGGGTCAGGAACGTTGAAATCTTGGTATTTCTGTATCAGTCCCAATCTTCTCTGTTTTTCACAAAACCATGTTCTTGCAGTTGGTGAAATCAGGATTAATTTCTCTGTCTGAACATTAATATGACGTCCCACTACCACACGCTCCATGTCCCTCCCCTAAGACCTTGAAAACAGAAATGATAAAATTTCTCTCTTTTCTGTTTCAGGCTGTAGGAGTAACAGCCTGATTAGTAATTACCTCTGTAAGAAAGAAAAAGAGCCCCAGCAAAGAGTGTGGGAGCATGAAACTGCTCTAAGACAGAAGTCAGGTCGTACACTTTGCATATTACTTTCTAACAGAATGTGTTCTCAGTGGACAGTTTTATATACTAGAACGAGATGTGCAGAGAAGGACAAGCTCTAGTCGAGTATCTACATCCCAACTGGGAGACAGGCTAATGAGGAATTTTCAGCAGATTTTTCCTCAGAGTACACCAACTTGTGATTTTGTACTTGCTGTATATTTAACACGGTTAATGTCAGCGAAAAAAAAGTGGGGATATGTTTAAATGTCAGCGAAAAACTGAGGGGATGCTTTGGTTGTCAAACCCCTCCTTCCCAGCACCCTTTTCCTTTCCTCTCTTCTCCCTCTGCATTTAAAGGTTGTGGACGGCCATCTCTTGCATCTAACAGTATGTTTCTTCTTCAAGTCAAGTGCTGAGAGAGAAATCTTTTTCCACCAACATTATCTCAGTATCCCTGATGCTGAGCACCTGAAGTCTGAAGACAGACATCCCCTAAAGGCCGTTCGTCCTTTGTGAAATACAATTAGAGGATCAACTCAAGAGCTGAAGAATCAGTGACAGATGAGCAGACTGCTGTCACAGCAAAAGCTATGATGAGGCTTCTGGCATACTTTGGAGTTGAGGTTGTACAAACACTGACTGGTTCTTATGAAGCCTCTGCCTGGGGAAGCCACCACATGGCTCCAGGGTTCTCTGGGAAAGCAAAGAGATGACAGCCAGGGAAAGGAAACCCCTCGCTTTATGCTCTATGCTACGAATTTCTGTAAATGCTTCACAGCATTTCTACACTAGCTGAGGAAGCAGTGCACAGGCTTTCTGTTCTGCTCACTGGACAAGAATATGAAAGAAGCTCTGAAAACCCCAGAGAGAAGTATTGCAAACTGTAAAAAGCATTTGTACAATATTGAAAAAAACAAAATTTTGATCTTCCTGACATCTGCAAGTGAAAGATGAAAAAACACATAAAACTACCCTAGAACTGCACACACTTTTTCTTTAGAACTTGAGAGGCCCACATGATTCAAAAAATAATGTATAAAAATTCCATCAGGATTTGCATTTATTATAGTATTCTTCACACCTCAATCTACTACAGTTTATTTGCTACTTGTTCTGCAACTGCTCAGGAGTTTTGTTTTCGAGCTAGTCTCTCAGTAAGTGCATGATGGTCTGTAAAAGCACAGAAGATTCTGGCTACTGAGGAAAAGAGAACATAAACATATTTTAAAATAATCCACCACTCCGTCTTTGTCTCCTGATCTGCACTCTATCAATCAACTTCATTCAATTTACACTTTGATGCCTTGCTTTATCTAGTCATTAGAATGGGTTTATGTGGCAATTAACAAACTTAAGTTTTCTGGGATTTTTGAAAAAAGATAGGATATATATTTCTATGAATTTTGTGAGATATTCCTCATGTAACTGTGAAATGACTTTTTTTTTCCCCTTATATCATAGGGATAATACCACCTCATTTTCCCAAATACATGGTATTGCAGATGTCACGTAACTTCAGAAACATCAAAATATATGCCAGTAATACACTGAAATTATTACTCTCCTTTGTACTACATTCCAGAGAAATACTTGCTATAATCAGAGTCTTCCTTTCACACATCTTGCATAGTTTTCCCACAGCAAGGTTAGAGAAGTATCATCTTTCAAAGCAAAAGTTCAGCTTAACCCAGAACACCTATAAACTTCCAAGTAAAAAACACTAGAAAGTTCCCTAAACTGAAAATGGAGAATTATTACAAATATAGTAAAACATTCAAGTATTCTTAAGAATATTTACAGAAGACAGCACATTTTATAGTCAGATTAAACTAATCATTACATACCAAGGTGATTCATACAATATTTTAAAATGTCACCAAGGATATAATTTTTAAAAAAAGTTATAGTTTGACTTACCGGAAAGTACAGAAGAAGTGATCCAAAAAGAATGGTTTCCAACAGCACCAGCCCTGAAGCCCTGATACTCTAGAAGACAAAAAACCAGCACAAAATATTAGAAAATTCTCTCCGTCTGCCATTTAGATGCTGGGTTCTTTGCAGAAGGTACCTTGACTTTTGTCAGTATAACGCTTCCACAGTACCACTCGTTAAAGCACAGGATTAAGCTGTCTGTCACGCTGGCATGTTCCACATTCTTTAATTCACAGGCCCATTACAATGGTTGTGTTTTACAAAACCCAATTTAAAAAATCACTCTTT